GCTCTTCAAGGTGAAAAAGGGCAGGAGAAAAGGGCTGAAGCCTTGCTTCAGTCAAACTACACTCCCAGAGATGTACTGTGCATCAGTTCATGCACCTTGCCATAAACATTTTCAGTGTATATAATATCAAAAAGCGCCAGTAGTATTGTCCTGGATGCCTTGAAATTCTCTGCCTTTTTATGTTAGCTAAAGAAATACAGCATTATGTGCTAACTTTGACCCCATTACCCAGAGTAATGAGGGGGACAATGTGTCATCCATCAATGGAATCACTGGATTACTTAACAGCCATCATATTTTGACAATTTATTGAAGCTTATGGTTCAGTGGAAACAAATTAAGAGGTTTCAAGCCTTCTCTGAGTATCTTAAGTGCTTATTTTTATTGATTTTTTTTAATGAAGTTTTTCATCATAGAAGTCTGCAGAAATTCCTGTAGTACATTTGTTCAGTGTTTTTTATCGAACTGGGAGTTGAACTCCAGTTGTTGGAGAGAAAGACAGCAGTTAATTTTAAGCTCCTTGAGTAAATATTGCAGTGTTGGAGGAGGGGGGAGAAGGAAAGGACTAAGAGAAACCTCAATGTAGAATTAAAACCAGACAAGTGAACGGGTCATCTCTGAAGGGCTTTTCTGACTTCACAGTAGTCCTGCTGTATTCTTCTAGGACAAGGATGCATTCATTTACTAAAATGGGATCACTTTTTCTAACTTGAGTGTTTATTTTGTTGCAGAAAATAAGGCAGTTGGAGTTATGAAGCCAGGTCATGTATTTACGATTGAACCAATGATCTGTGAAGGTGAGCAATTCAGCAATGGAGTAAAACGGTTACTCTTGTTTACTATTAAGTGGTGATGGAATAGGATGCTGGCTTTATTCTGTATAGTTTAGATAGATTTTTCATTTCTCTTTGGGGAACTGATATCTGTTACTTAAAAACAGTCAAAAAGTCATCATTTATGTTTTTAGGTGGTTGGCAAGATGAAACATGGCCTGATGGTTGGACTGCAGTAACAAGAGATGGAAAACGATCTGCCCAGTTTGAACACACGCTTCTGGTCACCGATGCAGGCTGTGAGATCTTGACCCGGCGGCTGGATAGTATTCGTCCCCATTTCATGTCCCAGTGATAGTCTAGACTGAGCAGGTGGATCTGAACGATACTTTTTTTTTTTTTTCAGTCTCTGTACGATGCAGTTTTTTAAGAGTACAGAATAGAGAGAGTTCATCATTTACTTTGTTCTCAGTGATTGTAGATGAGAGGAATATCTTGAACCTGACCCAATGTCTGGAAAAGCAGAGAATAATGTAAAGAATTTCCTGCTTTCCTCCTACCTACAACACTCATGCTATAGTTTTCTTTTTTCTTCAATTACCTCTTTAGCACCTTTCCTCCAATTAGACCCACAATTGCTTCTGTTGCTGCCATGATATTAGCTAGAAAAGTGTGGGTAACTTTTCCCACTGGGACTTGATATTTTGGGATCCAGGTTTTTTTCACCACTTCAGTGTGCCCTCTCACTCTTGGTATGTGAGTGGCACCTGAGATTTTAAGCATTTCTAGTTCCAAAGACTTGCTCCTGCTTCTGCAGATACTGTTCTAATGGGCTGGGCCTTGTTTGTTTGTCAGTTGAGAAGGGGGCAGAAGAGAGAAAGATATGCATGTTGCCAAGAATAGGCTACCCTTACCTTTAATTCTGTCCCCATCTCTCTGCTGATGGCCTCTGTGGTGATTGCAACTGTAGGTGACACACTGTGTTAATGGCAGGACTTGTTTCTCATGCTGGAGATTTGGTAGTATGGGCTTCCTACAGGGAAAATTAATAAATTCTGTCTTATATGCAGCTCCCAGGAATAAGCTGCTTCTCGGCGAAGCAGTATTTGCAGGCAGCTCCCAAAAGCTTGGTGAAGCTGATGTATCAGACTTATCTAGGTAAAGGAATGAAACGAGAACCAAAAAGATCCCATGATTCATGGGATCCCCGCATGTGTTAACTGCGGGGCATTTTCTAAAGGTACATCCACAGCAGCTGTGGGGGATTGGATTTGCAAGACTTACAGTGACATGAGTATGTATCTCAAAACAAGTCTGAGTGTGAGAAAATGAAACACCTTCAATGCTGTATTCATTTTCTTTTGGTAACTGTCAAACAGGTCATTTTTTCCTCCCTCAGTTATGTGAGTTTCATGCTTTTGGAAAGTCTTAGGGGGGCAGCTATGAAAACAGATCTTTCTTCCTCAGACTGGATATAGAGTGGGCAATGTTAATATATATACCCCTTCATTTTCTGTTCCTGCGTCATGATGAGCTGGAAACTGTCATGTTAAGGAGTGTGGATTGATTAAGCCTCTCTCCCCTTTCTTTTCCCATGCCCACTTCCTTTCCATCATCTTTGATATTTCTGCTGAGGGAATTTATTTTTTCTTCTGAATTGTAATGAAAAATTTTTCAGACCCCGTTGCAGACCTAGTCTTATACCACTGTAATGCAAGAAATAATTAAACCAATGCAGACATTAAATCATACAATCATGGGCATAAAATACACCTTTTACAAGGTGTCTGGTGAATTTGTTGCCATGTTAGACCCAAGCATATGAGGTACTGCATACCCTCAGCCCCCCTTGGCACTGCAGAATTTAGGTGGGGGAAGGGGGTTAGCACTTCATAGAACGGGACTCGTGTGTACTACCAAATATGAAATTTGCCAGAAAATGTCTTCTGTGCCCTGAGTGCCTCAGACCTCTGTTGCTGTAAGAGTATCATTGCGATGTTTTCATTACCTTTATTATTATTTTTAATTATGCAGTAAAGTGACCTGAAATGATGAATATAGAGCGTGTGTGCGTGCGTATGTGTGTGTGCGCGTGTATAGATTTTAACAAAACAGACTGTAGTACTTGAGTGGAATTACCTGTGTTGAATGAGATGTAATGTATTGAGGAGATGACTGTCCTGGAGGTTTGCCCACCATATCATTCACTTGAATGGTTACAACGGTCTTGCCTTTTCTATATGTGTGTGTATGACTGGGGGGGCGGGCTTCATTTTTGGTCTATAAAAATAAAAGTTGCAGCTGCTTTTAACAGAAATAACTTCTTTTTTTTTTTTTTGATGCAAAACTAGACAGGGCATTTTCAATTATATCCAGGTTTGCTTGCACTAGTACAAGGCCTACTGGTACATGCATGCAACCAGTTAAAAATCACCCTTAAACCTGCAAATGTGCCACTTGAATACCTCTTTGTTGTTGCACCAATAGAACTGAATCTAATGCTGCATGGTTTTAATATATGTATGATGCTAAGCATTTCTGCCTATAAACTGAAATCACAGCATGAAAACTTTTTATACAGAGTTCATAGTACTACAGTATTTTTAAACAAGTGGAAAACTGGCATCTAACACCAGTTCTTTCAATATGAGATAGCTCATCAGCCTGGAGAACAAAACTTATTTAATAAAAATACTGTGAAAGTCTATTTTTTTATACCTATCTAGCTGTAATTTTGCTTGAACATAACCTATTAGACTTGTGCTGACTGGATTTGGGAAATTATCTATTTTTGATTCTTACAGAAGTTGCTATCCACTTAAAAGAAAACAAACAAAAAACCCCTAACTTAAATCTAATTTGTAATGAGTATACACTTTTGCAAAAAACAATCCTACAATCATTCTGAAACAATCTCTTAAAGTATTTTCCCTTTACTGTCATATAAGAGAGTGCGGAAACTCTTCATACTGTTTCTGCTAATTGACATGAGTATTTAACGAGAGAAGATTTGATAGCTAGTGTTGAATAAAAGTAACAGCATGAGGAGAGAAGCTGCATCTTTTACGTGACAGCCAGCAGAGTACATAGACGTTTCATGCACAGTCATTTGGTGGTAACTTTTTGTCCATTGAAGTCCTTACAGTTGTCGAGATGGTACAGTTCAATACAGTACCTTGATCACTGAGAATGGGGCACAAGCTCTGGTGTTTGAGTCCCTTTGTTAGCAGAGCAACTTCAAAGAGACTACTTAAAACATGCTCCATTCAGTCAACTGCATTGCAGGACAAAGTAGTCTGCTATGTAATGGTTAGGACATCAGTTCTTCAGGCTGAGAAGAAGCTGTAAGTCTCTGACCCGAGTTGTCTGGTATCACTAAGTGGCTGTTGTTGACTTACCCTGGTATTGCAAGACTAGCTTTCCAGAAACACTCCAAGATGCAGGTTCTCTAAAGTAATAATGTAATGTAGACAACATGATTGTATGATCTTGATCTAGTCTGTGCAGCCTAGAGGAACAACCGTTTAGTATAAGTATTTTACATCTGTTTGTTAGATCCAGTTGGGGGTAGTTCTGCTAACATGTTGAGCTAATATTCTATTGATACCATCGTGTAGTTATAGAATACTCTCACTGGAACAGCTTGACAGCAAGTTTTCTACTGAATTCTCAGTGTTCAGCCAGCATTTCTGGAGCTACAAGGTACTGAGAATTGCCTCACTGCTGTGTTGGAGGGCTCATGTTCTTGTACAAATTCACTTTATTTCTTCCAGATGCTCAAAAATGAATTATGACATTCACAGGAGTTAACTTTGTTGTTTACTCTGTCAGAAATGAAATTAGAAATGCAGCTACCTCAACTGTTTTCAGAATGCTCTAGGGATATCCTTCCAATGACAAATGGAAAAGTTGCAATTGTCGAGTTGTATAGCAGTGTCTTAGGGTAAGGCAGTTGTTAGCGCTGAGAAGGAATTTCTTCTAAGATTACTGTTTGCATTCAGAGTTCTCTGTAACAGTTGTTTTGACCAGGCTCCCTTAAAACATGAAACTTCTCTCTTGATCAGTGTCCTTCGTTCACTGAAAAGCACTGACTTTTTATGTATGTAACTTCTTAACTGGGTAGCCTTTCTCCCTCTGCTTTGCAGTCTGTTTTCTGCTGTTCCTGTGTTTTTTCTGGACCTGTGGCACTGCTTTCAGGTTTCAATTCAAAGAAACTTTATCTAGTCAGATCACTTCAACTACACTTAAGAAAAAAACCTTCAACTCCAAAATTAAGATTTAATACCTCCCCCTTCCAACAAACAAACCAACCCACAAAACCCCAAAGCCTTCATCCCACAATGTTCTTTGTTCCCTGGTAGAACAAACTGTTGCTCTAATAGTAATGTTCCCTGCTTCACTGGCATCATGATCGTATTTCTGACTAGAGGTAACAATCCCACACTGATTTTGCAGTGTTGGCTGCAAAGGCTGCTTCAAGTGCCAGTGTTTACAGAAATGGCAAAACTGTGCTGTTGAAGTCTTGGAGGACACCACTAGGGCAAGTGACTAGTCTATGCTACCTTCTTTGCAAGATGCCTGCCTACAGCTACTGTAGGGAGCCAAGTAAGAAATAAGGCAGAATAGGGACTTCTGAAGTGAACATAGGTACACCTGGACACCTAGGTCATACATCCAACCACACTGGTGTACAGTTGGCTTCAAGGTAGAACTGGATGGCCTTTGTAGTCCTAGAATAGCCTCATACGCTTGACAGCTGGTGGAGTTCTTGCCCCTCTCTCAGCACAGTTACAGCCCACCAATGCTGCTTCTCAGCCCACCTGTGCTTAGCAAACTGCCTAGTGTAATGAATCCCACATCATTTGCTATTGACTCTGAGGAAGTCTTCTCTTCTGTCATGTACACATATATGGTTTTCCTCTAAGGATTTTACAGTAAGACACAGCAATCATCATCAGTCTTAATGGTCAGCAAGTTCAACACTGTTTAGAAATAAGCTTTTATTAAGTAGATTGAGTTAGGCACTATTGAATTTGAAGAACAAGTATAGAAACAGACATTGCACAACCAATACTAATTATATAACACTATTCATTGGTTACCATTTTTTTGTTATTTAACATTCAGAATGCTCACCCTGTAATACATCATCTTCTTAGGCCCAGTGAGTTTTCATTTGCTTGATTCTACCCTCTATCAGAAATTCCATTATAAAAGGACAGTTACTATGTTGCTGGCCAACTGGAAGGTCCACATTTGGCTCTAAAGCTTTAGGACAGTTCGAATGCTTAAAATGGAAAAGAAAAAAAAAATACCAGTAAGTCCATTTTCTCCCCTTCTCTCCCCTCCCCTTCATTGCCAAGACATACTTTAACTTCTTTCTCTTGTAAGAATGAAGTTATGCTTATGCCTGTAATATTTATTAAAATTCCTGGTTAAAAATGGGTTAGTAATGCTTGTTATCTTTGGTTTTTTTCAGTCTCTCCCCCAGTAAGTTACTCAAAATGGAAGCTTTTTCAAACTACATGAGTGTCAATTTTCAGCAGCTAGTCAAGAATATCAGTCAGGAACATTAATATTTACAGGCATTCCCTTTTGGCTGCTTGGAGAATTTTAAGTAACTTTCATTATTAGTTTCATAGGACATGCTCATGTAAGAAAAAAGCATTGAAATGATACAGAAGTTTTAACTGGGAAAGGGCATCAACTACTGGATGAAATTTGTGTAGATGCACTGTTTCCAATATTAAAAAGTGCAAGTGCAGTTACTGTTAACTGACTCATCCAAAACAGGAATACCTATGAGATAAAGTTATTACTTTTGAGAAAGTTGCATACAATACATGAATATGGATTGAGATCAAATACAAAGACCATGCTGGTTTCTTGAGATAATGCTGGTAACTATTTATCCATCTGCAGATGAACCTAAATATGGATAAACGGAGTTGCCTGCATTAGTGCAAATATGCAGGAAAAGATTTTGGTTTTTATTAGAACATCTCTCCAATTTTTTCCTCTTGTCCACCTGCTGATTCTTCCCCTCATTCAAAACACATTCTTAAAATATGTGAACTAGTCTGCTAAATAAGCTGGTTTCTACTCTTAGAGGCACTGGTAGCTATCTCATTAAGAGTCCCTGAGTTTCCAACAAATTACAGAGCATCTCATTAAAACTCATATTTAAAAGGGGCCTCCTCTTGAAAAGACACAGCAGGACAAGCTTTGATTGCACCTTAGGCTACAACTATCTAATCCTTTCCCCTTTTTCTGCGTTATATTTTAACCTACAGATACAAGTTCTGCCACAGTATCCCCATGCTGTTCCCCGTTTTCCCCACAAGCACATCCATGCCCATATCTGTACAGGGTTTACAAGCATCACCCAATATATCCTCTGGTAAGAATACCCTACTTTGCACTGCTTTTGCAGGTTGATCACTACTTGCAATGTATACTGCTGTAGGGGCAGCAAGGCTTACCACACATCCAGCCTTTTTTTTTTTTTTTTACGAGCAAGTAGGGTCACTTCAATGTGCAGTGGAGTTGGGCCTCACTAGGAAGTTCAATATAGCTATGGCCTAAGTCTGCAGTATGAACAGTCCAAACTGCCATTTGTCTTAATATATGCAGAAATTGATGTATATTAAATACAAAACCATCATATGAATATTCTACCCCAGGTCAAACTAGAGAAAAAAAAATTAAAATGTACCATATTAAAAGATCATTCAAAGTGATTGATTGGTTTTGCTGGTAATCTATCCTAAATAGTTTGAAAACACACTGCAATTTATTATTTAATTAAAATAGACTAACAGCTTAATGACTTGTAAAAATGTATTAATGTGAACACCCCTTCAGTCTCTTTAAATTTCTTTTTCTGAAGAAGAATGTTTTAGCAATGTTGGAAGCCTAGAAGAGACTTGTCCCCTTTATCAGCGTGACATGCTTTTTACTCTCTGCCTGTGTTTTGGCACATGCCTAGAAGCTCAGAGAAAGTGTATTTGTTTATCTTAGAGTGAACATGCATGGTTTATGTCAGCCTTTATCCTCCT